GAAGCAGATGGAGAAGTGATGCGTAGGTAGTTGTTAGCATCAGAATGGCACTACTGCTCCTTCCTTGCAACAGGTGGATCTTACAGAGGCTTTTAAAGTTTTAGTTAACTTCGACAGTTCTATAACCACCTTCTCTTCACTGGCACCACATTTGTGATTTAAAATCTTTGCTAAGAGGAGATTTCCTCACAGCTAATACACACTTGACCTTTTGTAAAAGTGTGACGAGTCAGCAAACATAAGATGATAGCTTACTGTTTTACCATAAACTGCTTAATTCTATCATTATAATGTACTGTATGATAAAATAAAGAATGTATTAATACTGTTAATTCAGACCTATTGAAATCTCACATAGTCTCATTCTAGTCATTCCAGCATCTCCAGCAACTAAGTCATACTGGCCCTTGCTGCTTTACTGACATCAAAAAACATATACACACACACTTGCAATATTGATATGTTTTTCCTTTTTATCTCTTCATATCTCATCACCCTTTTGCCATGCTAGTTTGACCTTTCTGAAATCCCTAATATATGCCAGTAATTGCACATCAAACCTCAATACATTATTTCAACCTCAAGCGCTCCCCTATCTAACACACACTCGTACACACACATGCCTGGACAAATGCATTCATATACAATATTCTCACATGCAAACACATACATAAATCTGTAATTGCATGTGCATATACAAGCATGCATTCACACACAAGCTTGCAGGCCCCATTTTCATGTATACACACAAACACACACAGACACGGCTTGCTGGCCTGCTGATGGTGTAGGATTCATGTATTTTGATGATATGAAAGTTGACCACATTTACATGCAAATCGAAGTTCCAGATTAATAGGGTCCACGTATGAGGGCGAAGGAAGACTGCATGGTAATATGCTATTATGGCTTTTAAATACATTTACCGATGTTTTGACGCAGAATTAGCATGGTCCTAGCACAAGGAAATCATGTTGGTCTGATAGCAATTTGGTTTTCCAATTGGGAATACAATTTCATCAGGTTCAACTGTCATTTCTAATAATGACCCTGGTTGTGCTCACTAAATTGAAGATTCTTTTCCTCACTTTTTTTTTTTTACCCCAACCTTGGTGGATGAAAGAACAAGCATTGTGTTAACAGAGGCTGTTGCTGCTCAGAAATTGCTGTACCTAATGCTATTTACAACAACCTGACTGGAGATATAGTAGAAAAAACTGAATGGCAAGTGTCTCTATGTTCATGTGTGTGTATTGGGAGTTTCATGTTTAGAAAATCTCTAAATTGTGATAAGTTCTTTCTTTCAACTTGGGAAATAATAATCTGGGTTGTCATTGGACTACAAAGTAAAGGTGAAAATGACTCTTTGGCACCAGCAATAGTCCCTTTATTCTTCCCTGCTAAAGAGTACATTTGCATATTCCACATATAGCATTATCTAGTCCACACTCTGTCAAGTGATGGAGTAAATATGACTAGTCAAATCACTGCTTGTCAGCCACAGCAAAATGTCAATCATCTCTCACCCAAAATGGTCCTGACAGCTAAATACAGATCTCAATTTTCCTGCAGAGAATTCATTACTTCAGAATAATAAATAGATAAAGATAATAAATAGATAATAAATAGAATAGTAAAATAGATTGTTGAATCTTTGCATTTCTTTGCACCATATTTTGTCATCAAAATGATGAATTTCAATATGAAGGCTGTTGACAAAACTCAGAGTTCTCGTTGTGGAGAAATGATTAGACTGTAGCCTGACCTAAAAGGATAAACTGAATGCTCTCTACTGTTATAAGCCTTGTTTATCAACTTTGCATTTAATTAATGCATTCAACTGTATAATGGTTTGATTTCCTTTGAGCACTAGCAAACATGAGAGACATATGGAGAGAGAAGCATAAAAGGAGACAACCCCCCCCCCAAAAAAAAAAAACAAATAAAAAAAACAAAAAGGAAAAAAAAAAAAACAGAAATCATCCTCGGGTGTTAGACTTGTGATGTGTTTTCTTTAAGTTTCCCCACTCAAGAAAAACAAATAATTAACAGCCCCATGGGACATAACACACAAATAGAATAATGTATTTGTGTCAGTCAAATGCCTTTCCATAGCTGGGCATAGAAAACATAATAAATGAATATGAAATGCATAAACAGAGCCCGGATACCATCCAATTAATAAATACCATTTTTATCATGTCTTCTGGGGGCTAAAATACTTTTGAAAAATCGCAGCATGCCTTTTGGCGTCCTTGTCAATTTATGTAAACAGCCTGCAACCATTCTAGGGGCGAGGAGCACAAGGAGATCATAGATTATTAATGGAGTTTGAAAATAACAAAGGCTGTGTCAGCTGCATCCTGTGCCACAGTATCAATGGCACTTGGTCGCTAAATGGCACAGAATGGTTCCTTGCTGTACACCACAAGCTCAATATCCAGGATTCCTTGGAGTTAGTTATAATCCTTTAAAAGCTGGTAAAGATGTAGTCTAACTCTTGTTCATTTTGGTCAAAGTAGAGAGAAAATGGCTTTAGAATAATCTTTATCTTACTCAGGCTCTGATGTGTTGAGGGTCTACTAATAGGGAGGGTGGGGGAGTGGGTGAGGGACTCCTGGCTGAGTAGGCCAGAAATGTTAGGCCTTTGACATCAAGTATCGATTCCACACTGAGAGGGCTGAGCGAGGGAAAGAGAAAGGAGAATTGTTGCAATGCATGCCCCTTCTCATTAGCTGACCGCAGGGGAGCGGAGGCGTTAACTTGGCTTTTCCTTTGGGACTCTAAATGGGTCTAGGGCCACCACTGATGGGGGGAAGTTCACAACCACAAAACTGGGTTCAATATTGAGTTAAGCTAACTTTGTTTTTCTTACTATTGTAGCTGGGCTGATAATGCTACCTTATGCATAATAGCCAGACAAAGAGATAATGCACGAAACAAACACTGCTGGTATCTTGAAAGAAAAAAAAAAAAAACATGCAAGTGCACCTCTTCAAGAACAAGACATCATCATTGCAGTTCAGTAAACGAGATTACACTCTTTAGTTAATTAATCTCATACACCCTGTCATTAAACTAACAGGTAGCTCTAAATGTTGGGAGACAAATAGGCTGCTTTGACTAGCGAGGCTGAGATAAAGGGTTCAGATAATGAGGGACTAATCATCTGCATCAGTTAAGTCCACCAGGCCTAATTTCCCTAAAAACAAAATACTGTACACATGGAACTAATCTCCACCTTTTATTTATTAATTTCCCATCCAGAGGTTCAGTACCACACTAATAAGGCATACTCGCACTGCCATGCAAGCTTGCATTCTAGCCCCCTCCTTTCACACACAGAGATTAAAAGGTGTTATGAGCCATGGACTGCAGAACAAAGAGGAAGAGATTGTAAGTAGATAAAGAGTATACTCATAAGGAGATGCAGCTCTTAGGATAATGAGGCTTCACTGAGGGAGCTTCTCCTTATTCCTCATCCTCTTCCTTTACCTTTCTACTGATTTTGTGTCTCACTTTGTCTCTACCCCCCTGCCCCTTCCACCTTCCACCCTCAACCCTGTTTCTTTTTTCCTAGTGTTAGATGCTGAAAGGAAAATGCCTGTATAATGCGTATAATCACATTTGTGCAAATATTGGTGTGTGTATATATAGCTCTATAGTTTTATGTCTCTTTTCTTTACTGTAAATTAATGACAAGCAAATAAACTTTTTTTGCATTAGAATAACATTTGTTATTGCATTCTAACTGCAGGTTGAGCAGCTGTATTTGACATATTGCTGATTGACACTTGAAGCTCTCAACCCCCCATAATGCTTCTAAACAGCTGCAAATTAGACACATTCTCATACATGCTTAAATACTTACAAACTTGGGCTTGGTAGTTGTCCATTGTATTAATAACCAATTATTTGCACTAGTTGTAGCATAACTGTAAACCCAAGTTATAAAGGAGAGAGGTATTTGCCTGTCTCAAGTGCTCTAATTGGCTAAGCTTGTCGTTCTCAGAGGTCTGCTCTGTCTTTGTTAAACTGACAGATTTAAAGAGATAGAGAGTCAGAGAGAGCAAGATTGAGAGAGAGCAACAGCCCTTCACTGGAACGAGATGTCTACAGTCTATCTCAACACATTTTTTAAACTTTCATGGCCTCCTGTTTGGCCCCTTTGCCAGCTACGTCCCGGAGCACTCTACTGTCAGTGTAAGAGAACACTCAAGATTGTGTTGGTCTTGAATAAATAATGTGACATTAATTAATTAAGGCACAACACTCCCTAAACATAGTGTACATCTGAAAAGAAAAGCAAGCAAGACCTGGAAAATGAACTTAGTGTTATGTCATTTGTTGGCAAGCATCATCACAGTTGAACTTTTTTTTCAAAATGAACTTGCAATACATCTCACTTCATACATTAAATGAGCCTCATAATTTCTTACTAAACAGCATGCATGTTGCATCTTATTCCTTTAAAAATGAGATGATTTTTCTCTAACGTGAAACAGATGTTATAGATCACGGATCATACCTTGCCTCTTCTGAAATGGAAAGGGGGACATTTATCACTCAGAGCTTTTCTAATCCAGTTGTACAGTGTAATGCAAGACATTATTCCACAACATGGGGAAGAGAAGAGTAGAGAAAAGAAAACCTGCAGCAGCATGGACCAGCAAGCACCATTGGAAAACTGCATGGACCACCAAAGGCCCAGAGAGCACAGCTAATATGACACCCCAAGGCCTAATCTTCTTAGCGGGTAGGGATAAAATGAGTATCCATTACGGAATGAACCTTCATCCCAACCCTCTCTACCCCATATTACCACCACTACTACTCCGTCCCTCTTTCCTCTACTCGCCTCCATGCATTCACCCCCCGCCCTCCCTCTAGAGCCAGTGCTAGCATTGATAGCCAGCATTGAGACAATTGGCTGACTCTGGGCCCTAATCAGGTATTAGCCACTAAAGCTGTAAGGGAAGGCTGCTAATCTCCATACTCACTTCATATGTAGAGGCAAGGCCCCAGCAGCTTGCTTTCCTCTGGCACAGGCCTAGATCAAAGATGCCTGCTAGAAATCAGATTAGAGTAAAGAAGAGAGGACAGGGTGAGAGGGAGCAGGGGTGCGAAGGCCACAGATCTCTAAAACCTCCCTCCATCTTGCCTCTTTTAAAAGCTTTTTGCATAATCAGGGAGGGGAGTAGGTGACTTTAGTCCCCCAAAAGCCTCTTAGCTGCAGATGAAACAAAAACATGAAGGGGTTGAAAGATAGGTAAAGTGAAGGGAATGTCCATCAGTAGCCCAGAATATGCAAACCAAACAAAGGCTCTAGATAGGGCCTTTCACGCTTTTTCTCGGCCACCGTAGTTTCTCCTCCATGCTTAAATTGGGAGGGTGAAACAGAGTGTTTGTAATCTGCAGCTACACTGCGAGATGCCGCGAAAGTCATTTAAGCAATGCAGTAAAATTTAATTGGTATGTTTGATCACATCATATTGTTCTAAGGTTTCAGACCTTGTATACTGGTTGTCCCAGATCCCAGCAGAGATCTTTAACTGTGTGAGACATACTGGCTTTTAATACACCTGTTGTTGAAGTGAATATATAGTGAATATGAATCTGATGTCAGCAGTGGGGGCTTTCTCATAGATTTTTATGTCTCTCTGCATGAATTCCACTACAGGCACACAAACAAATCAACTTTTGTGAATTGCTGACTAATAGTAAACCTTCTTGACAGTGCTGATCTTTGAGGGAATATACAGCCAGAAAGTCCAAAACAGAGGTTTACATGTTAATTTAACCCAATATTTCACGAGCATCCTTCTCTACTAACAGAGGTATGGTTTGCAGACTGTTTTGAGAAAATAAACTATGTAAAAAACTGTGTGAACCAATCAATCTATAGCTAGCTTACCTGCTTACCTGGACAGCTATTGTGACTCTACAGCTACTAGAGGACCACCTACAAAAACTCACTATGTCACCTAGCATCTCCCTTTGCGAGGATGCATTGATGAACTTCAGTGAGCTTTTGGTTATTAAAGCACATGCCTACCATTACAGGGCCACCCTGAGCAAGGAAAGACAACTTCACTGAGATGCTTGAAATCCAATTTTCAATCTAGGTTGGTTGTAGCTTCACATAAACAAATGCTTTCACTTGTATCTGTCCACTGCAGGGAACCAATTCCCATTTCTTTGACAATTTTTAAGGTTGCTAGTTTATACTCACACGCAACTCTCCCTTACACACAGACATAGACACACACCCGCTCATTCTTGTAAAGTGCATGGCTATTGTTATTGACTGCAGTACCTTGGGTTCACACTTTTCTATGATGGATTCTGAGGTGGAGGTGGTCCTTTAATTGTTAAGGCAGCTGCCCGAGTGGAGCAGAAGGTGTCAGGGGAGTTCTTCTGTGTCGCCTCTCCTCTTGAGGATGGTCAAGGGCAAGCTGATCCTGGAACCTCATACACACACAACCACACACATTAATTATATGTATGTTCTGTACATGTATGTTAACAGTTTTAGCCAGTTTCAGTTAATTGTGACAAAATACAAATATGGTAACAACGCAATGTCAGGGTCTCAAATAATTTTGGATGATACTTTCTCTATTCTTTTGCCATTTTATTTATTAAGCATTAACTTTTCAAGACATGGATAAACACTATTAAGCTTAACCATCACATTTTCATTTGACATGTACAGTATATTTTAAACTAACTGCATAGCACAAAATGTTACTGCATGACCATTAACTACACAGAAATGAAAACAGGCTAAAGCTCACCAATCTGCACACAGTTCCTGCATTCTCCATGGGGGACAGCCTGTCCTTAGCAAAGCAGACAAATGTTAATTCCCCTCAGTGAGCACAGGTCTGACCTCCAGACTTCTTGAGGAGAGCACACACACATACACACGTACACACACAGTCTTCTCAGAAGGTCACAGAGCAGATGACACCAGCCTGTTCCCTGTTTCACTTCGATTGGCCCATCTTTTCTCCTTCATTACCGCACACAGCTGTGAATAAGAGAGTCTGTGTGTGTGTGTGTGTGTGTGTGTGTGTGTGTGTGTGTGTGTGTGTGTGTTGTGTGTTTTTTTGTTTGTGTGTGTGTGTGTGTGTGTGTGTGTGTATGGGTGTGTTTATGTCTTTTTCCCCAGTCTCTGAAATGGCTAAGTGCTGTTAGTGCAGTTTTTATCAGCGAGGCCACTGGCGAGACTCAGGGGAACAGACCAGGGCTATCTCTCTCTGCCGGCCCTGAAAATTGATATTGAACATGGAGGAGGAGTAGGAGAGAAATCTCACATGCTGGTAGCAATTAGCTAAAAAGGGATTTGGAACTCTGTGATTCATCACACCAGAGATCGAAGTCATTTAAAGACAATGTTTTTTCCCTTTCCCTCACTCCTTGCTCACCTCCTCTCAGACTGCGCCTCCTTTAGCCTACTTACAAGACAGTGTGAGATTTCCTATTTAAGGTTTATTTCTCCCAACTGAAAACCTGCACTGTGCTGAAGCACAAACAAGGTCTTTGATTTGACTTGCTGTGTGTACATACCTAACACCGGGGTGCTAAACTGATGCAAGGCCACTGTTGGTTTACCTTAAGAGTTGGCAACACAGCGTGACACACTGTCAACAGCATGGCGAGGGAAATGCATCATTGCGGAAGGGAGGGGAAACGGTACAGGTTGAACAAACTTTTACCGTCTCACTCGAGGCTTCTTATTTATGGCATTCAGAGCCTGTTACGCTTTGTTTACACTGTCTGCTTCACAAATACTTTGACCGAACCGCCAACTGCAGGATATGAGGTTGAAGTCGTAAAGCACACTCTTGCCACTACACTGGCGAAGTTCATGTTACAGTGAGAAAGAAGAGACGCATTCACCTCAGTTTGTTATTTTAACAGCTTAATGTTTTGAGTGATGGAAGAAGTCTGTTTTGCCTATTCAAACACGGACTTAATGAAACTCACACACCCTGGACTGAGAGAATGTGCACAATGCAGGCTCGTTTGGGATCTGTGTTTATGCAAGTGGTGGGGATGAGGTCAAAGAAGCCTCAGGGTAAAGGCAAAAGCTTATTGGACAGTAGGTATGTGTTATTTTAATTTGCAGGACAGTATTCGTGTTGAGGGAAAAATGCGACTTCTTTGGTATAACTATATAACGTATGCACATATTTCAATAGCCCCAACTGACAACTTTGTTATGTTTTGAAGTAATATTGAATTATGTTTGTAAGTATATTAAAGCATACTGATCAGGATTCTTATAAAATTTTGTTCAATATAATCAACAAATCAAATTCCCATGCAAGGGGAACTTGCAATATATTAAAAAAAAATTTAAAAAAAGAGACAATTGAAAACAATTGACTTACACGCAGGCATGTACGAAAGTGGTATTTCAGATGCTACAATATAGATGCAAACATTATGCAGTGCATATGTTAAAATAATGACTTACTTAAACACATGTTTATGCCCAAAGGTTAAATGGTTACATAATGTAACAGTTGTTGAATGAACACAATGCAAAGCCTTCTTTTAAAGTAATTTTTTTGCCTTTATGATAGTGACAGCTGAAGACAGACAGGGAGGGGGGGGCAGAGAGAGGGGATGACACGCATCAAGGGGCCGCAGGTTGGATTCGAGCCTTGGTACATGGGTCACCAGCTCTACCCACTGAGCTATCTGGGCGCCCAATGCAAAGCCTTCTAATAGGGTTCTACAGACATAGCTAGTCATTGGGATATAGTTATATACAAGGTTAAATTAAACAGTCGGGTGACTTGTTGTTGAGAGTCTTGCACCTGTAGAACTAGAAGTACTACTGGCATGTGTGCTAACATAACTCTGTATAATAATTGTAATTTCCATCATTATGACATGACAGCATGATCTTAAAATGTGTAACAGTGACCAGTGTAAATTGATACAGACTGTAGAACAGATGTAGTAGTAGAAAGGACCTTGGTGGACAGTGGATGTGGACAGCGTTAATGTGCAAAGATTCACTTCCAGATGTGACTCATCATGTCGGGGTGAAACAGAAAGAATCTTTGTAGTGGCTATTCTCTGAAGTCCAGTGCCATATGGTCTGTAGTTTACACTATCTCTGAGGGTGCAGCGTCCACCTGCCCAAGAGCGGTATGTCCATCCACGTCACTGTTTTTCTGCTAATAACTTGAACTTCTAGTTTTATTGAGTTCCATGTTTTGACTGATACTGTACACATGTTATGGTGGAAAAGGTGAAAAAGGCCAAATATGTTTTACATTAACTTTTTTTTTCAACAATAAAGACACATACAGTTTGTTTTTGCTACATAGCAAGATGCACACTCTACACATCCTATTTCCATAGCCATAGGCCTCACCAAACACCAATCTTACTAACTCACTTCCCTACGTACATACACATCCAATACGAACAATGACACATTCTTCATAAAGCACATACAGGCAGCAGGGGAGCCTTGCCCCAGCCAGTAAACCTCTACAGTTTAAAACCTGAGCTGCAGCCATTAATAGAGCCGAAGATGACGGATGAGTTCATATGCCATGCAAGCAGCCCTAGACAATGGCTTGAGCCTGATGACAGATTGCCTGACCGTAACCCAGTTTATGTTAAACTCATTCTTGCTGTTCAATTTCACAAGTGTAATTTTGTTGGGCTGTGCTGCATTGTCCTCGACTGTGGGTGAGGTGTTGGGGTGTGCTCTCGAACTCACAATCCCTACCTCCGGTAATGATTCCCCTGCTCTATTCTATTGTATTGTTTTCTGCATAATCAGGTTGGTAGTCAAGGGTTTGGGTGACACAGCCATCTGTCAAGTTCATTTGCTCGGCGAAATGCAAAGGAATAATGGCTGATCCTACGGGAGCCTATCTGTTATCAAATAGGAGAGGTGCCCCCTGTTTATGGCGCTGCTCCACTGTACAGCAGAATGGGATTATGTTAGCACGCACACACAAATAAATGTACACACAGATGTATGTGAACTCACACATGCTTTTTCTAACACAAGCCTGCACAAACACACAGCATACTGACACGTACTGTTGTGCATGCTCCGCTTGATCAGCTCATCTTACTCTAGTATAGTTGTATAGGCATCCTGTGTTATGAAATCTATAATTCACTTAACACTGTGAGCTGTTGTCCATCTGGAGCTTTGCGCCAGCTGTTTGTCTGAGGACTTGTGTGCTCAATGTGTATATTTGTGTGTGTACTGTATGTGTGTGATGGGAGAGTGGCATGTGTTTGTTGGCGTTCAGTGCATAGACACATGTAATAGTCATTTGCAGTTGTGTATGTGGGTGTGTGTTTATACTTACATACTTACAGTATGCTTTTGTTGCCACTTTTAACCTATTACCTTCTTACCATGGCTCCTATTGTAAACCCTATAGATGAGATGAAACTTCTATTATCCTTATGGATAAAGTTAGGCTTTTTTATCTGGTAATACAGGATGCAAAAGCAGCACAGCATGAAAACATTTAGAACAAAAGAGTCTGGTACTAAATATGCACAAACTAAAAATACTGTGTGTACAGTATTTAAGCACCACTTTATGTATTAACGCATCATGGTTGCAGAAGTATCCTCCTGTTCTTGGAATGGAGCAATAGAAAATGTCAGTGAGCACAATTAAATGACCCCTGTTTTCACTGGGGATCCTTATTGTTAAATTAAGATGACACTGAGAAGCAGATTAATATTATGAATAGAAATAAAAAAGATCTTTATTAACAACACATTCAAATCCTAAACTGGTAATTATGATTCCCATAAAAACTAGGTAACTGAAGTGTTCAATTTGATTCCAATCTCTTAAATGCACTTTAAAAGCAAGCTCAGGTTTGTTCAATAAGTTGTGTAAGTGTGCATTCTCTCTCTCTCTCTCTCTCTCTCTCTCTCTCTCTCTCTTTGTAGAGGAATTTAGTCTTAACAGCATAATTGCATGATGATTAATCATTCCACTGCTTTATTCAGAAGTTGAATCTATGCCATACTTGTGGTAGCGAGAAAGCCAGAGAATCAGTGAAATAACATTTTATTTTCTGAATAAACATGCTCACAACCATGCACACCTCCATACAACCCTGCAGGAAGTTCAATGCCTGATTTGTTGAGAATAGGGCATAGGGAGGCTGTGAAAAAGTGAACAGCACAGTTACATAGACTATATGTAGGCAAAACCATCGGAAACATAAAACACAGGTCTTAAGTGTGAAAAAAATATACAAAAACAACAACAGTAACATACTAAAACCGTATTTCATATTGTAAGGCAGACAGAACGATTAAAGCAAAGTCTGTAGGTTTCAGATCACATCAATGTTAACTTAAACTGAGCAAGCAACCCCAAAGGAGCAAAATCTGAAAGAAGCACAAAAACTGCACAGTATGAACTCTGATAGGAGGGCAGGTTCTCGTCAGCACCTCATTTCTGTTTGCTTTCCCTGGTAAAGTATTGATTCAACTTTGCTCTCTGAAGCCAGCGATTAGACACAAGCACCTTTGGTATAATAGATGGCTACAGTGGATGTTTGAGTGAGTGGTCAAGCAAAATGAGTTACTTCAGCTATGAGTATGTTAAAAATGAATGACAATATTCTTTTATTGAGCTGTATGACCTGACCTGATCTGATACTCTACACACATTAGTACTCACATTAATAAACTAGTGAATGATCATTGGTATTTCATACAGGTAATTCTTTAGATTGACATTGATACTGTGATTACGGTTTTGCAAACATAACATTTATACATAATCTCTTATTACTCTGTATTTATCGAGGAAATGAACAACACTTTATATATCAGCAAACTAAGTGTTTCTTCGAAATGTGTGCTAAATCATCTAAGATTTTCTACATATAAGTTCACATTGTTATAATGTTTTAGAAATTATGTTTTATATGTCCGATAGCTTCTGTTTGATGCTATTTTTTATTAACAATACTGTTCAAAATTCATAGGGACAACATTAAAATAAATTCAATTTACAGAATTTCAAACAATGATTACTCTGAATTAAAGCGACA